AGACGACCTGAAAACCGATTTGGCCAACTTTTTCGTAGCGCAGCCGCCAGAGTTCTATTGGAATGGCATCCATAGTTTGCATAAACGTTGGCGTGAAGTGATAGAGGCCGATGGTGATTACATTCATGATTGAGATGATTTTGCTTTTAAATAAACTGGGTTGTAATAATTGTTCATGAAATTCCGAGAACTTTCTTTCCAATCAGATAGTTCTGTATAGTTCATTATCCGTAGGTAATGCGATTCATAATGTTGAATTTACCTCTGCTTTGCTCCTTGCAGGAACGCAATTACCAGAGATTCATCGAGGAATGTTGAATGAATGTCGATGGTTTGTGGAGATGGCATTGGATGAGTGTTGCATCGATATTGTTTCAACATTAACTAGGAATGTTGAAACAATGTTGAAGAAAATGACATCTTCGCATTGAATCAATGTGGTATTTCAATGTTGTTCCAACGTTCAAAATGTGGACGTGAAACGTTGTTTCCACATGGATGTGTTAGCTGTGGAAGTACGAAAAATAACTTTATAAATCGCCAAAGGTATGAGACATATTTAGGGGTGAAAATGTATTCTAAAGCGTTATGATCGCAATGCGAACTAGATTCGGCCTCGAGAGTACGCCTGCTCGAACTCACATGCACACAAGAGAACCCAGCAATAGAATCAGGAGAACACATTCGATGAGAATCCGATCCAAGATTGAATGGATAGCGAAACCAGATCGGTGACCTTGGGGCCCATCTGCCTGCACAGCCGAGCAAAATCAAGTTTTCGAACGCACTAGCACAGCCTCGGGCTATATTCACTCTCCATTCTCCGATCGATCCGAATGGACGATGTCACGTCACTGTACTATTTAAAAAAAGTACATCATGCTTGTGCATGATATTTTCCTCGGCCGTCGGTTTAAGTGTCTCGTATGAGGGAGGGAAAAGTGGAAAGCCGAAACGTACCTCGATTTTACAGCTCGAAGCAGGCGTCCTCGTTTTTCGATATCCAGTCGGGGAACCTCGGCCGATTTCAGAACGGCAGTTCGGTTCTATTTTCAGTTCAGACTATGGTCTGACTGAAGTTCCACTGTGGTCTAAGCAACTAATCACTCGATAGAAACCCACCTGGAACTGCGACCGAACTGAAACTGGAACTGAATTGCAAATGAACTGTGACTGGACTGCAATTTTGAAATCATCCCTTGTTGCCATCTCCAGGATATCTCCAGACTCGCCTGCCTGCCATTCGGTGGGTAAGTAAGGCCCGTTTCGGTTATCCGACACTCCCTCCTTATGTAGCCCTCACTTATCCGTTCGCCACTAAAGCTTGGAGCTCTAGCATGCTCAGAAGAATCAACAGTGACGCTTGATACTCTTGCACGTCCAACACAGAACTTGAGGATGGGGCTTGATTAGCTGGATGACATTGTTTTATAAAACAAATGAGATACTTCACACATGGTAACATACGCACTCTACCCTTCTCTATTCCCGTACACTTCTGTGTTCCCGTGCTAACTTCAGGAATGAATAATTTCCTGAGTTACATATAGCAATCAAAAAGGTCATAATTCCATGCTTTCCTCATATCTCTTCATAAATTGCATGATAAATAGTGAAAGAGGGGAGGAAACACTATTGCTAAATCAGGAAGGCAGGTACTTAATTGCATGTGAAGGGTGCAGGGAACATGAGTACCATCTAGTGGGGACTCTGTACTGCATCTGGATCGCGCGATTGGGGAGGTGTCCAAGCCACATCTTGGGAAGAGAGCTGGTGGCCTGCTGCTTACCCTAGGTTAGGTAGCGGGTCATGAACTGCATGCCCCATTTGCAGCCACGTTACCGCCTCCGCCAGTATAGTGCATGGACTGCCTATGGCCCGCTCCTTCGTGCTACTTCGGTCGTACGCAGACCCTCGAAGATCGGTGAAGACGATCCGTGCGATTCGCATCGTTCCCTCCATCGTACCCTCCGTCTCCCCTCTTTTTGCCGGTCTTTGGATGATTTCTTTCCGGGGAGGTGGAACCCTGCCCGACCGGAGACGCGAACGTAACCCACGACCGAAAGATGGAGCCTGCTTTCTGTCGGAAATTCGTGCCGTGCAGAAACCGGTCCGTACTCCATGGAATCTAAATCGTACCCGTCGACGATCCGACGGGGACGGTGTGCCTCGGGTGCCTCGATGGCCTCGGGGTGCTTCCCACGCGACTCGCGAACCGCGTCGGCGCAGCGGGGTGATGCGCTCGTTTGGGAATCGTCGGTCGGGGCCGAGGAACGGGGACCTCGCGCATCGCGAAACCGAATCGCTCAGCTTCTCTGGGCTAGTGCCCCCTTCACTTTGGGTCAAGAGACAGAGGTGGCACCGGGTTGCACCGGCAAACGAGTGTGATCGGTCTGCGGGCTCGCTCCGTCTCGCTCCGACCGTGCTCCCACGAGACGCGAGGACTCTTAAACGTACTTCGAGGGAGCCGGACGAGAGGCGTTTCGAACCGCCGAGGCCTAGAACGCCTCTCGAGAGACGTTCTGAGCCTCGGAGCAGGCGTCTGACGTCTGCTCCGAGCGAATCCATCGGTATGGGAGCGGTCATTCGCGAGCAAAATCGCGGCATCTCTTCGCTCCTTCGGAGGCGAAGCTGCGGTTTCGTGGATCGCGCCGGATCGAGCCAGATCGCATCCGGAAGCCAGAAACCCCAGCGAAAGAGACGAAATTCTCCGTGGTCTCTCACCGGTCGAATGGGCCTTCTTGCGTCCGTTCTGGAGACATCCTCGAGTCTTCCTCGAGTCATCCTCGAGATATTTCAGGCCGATCGGACGAGTCCCGTCTCCTCGTCCACGATCGCGAAGCATTCCACGTACCTCGTCGGAACCGGGTCCTCGCGGAACCGATTCGACGTCCCGGTCGACTCGCCTCGTCGCTTCGAGCGATTCATTCGGACGGCACGGGGCAGGCCTTCGTTCGGCGGGGGGCAGGTCTTCGCTTGCACCCGACGAGGCGACGAGAGGAAGAGTGCAGTACCGAAACGAACTCGTCGCGTCTGCGGGTGGCGAAAGACGCGGAGGCGGCGACGCACCGAAAGTCCTTCGGTCGTCCGCGTTCCGCGCTGCCGAGGGAGAAACGGCACGTGTAAATCCGTACTTTATTAGTACCAGATTCGAAGACCGAAAAAAAGAGAACGTTCTCTTCGCCGATATCACAAGAGTTGCAAACGGGGAGCGGTGGGAATCGGAAAAGGGAAAGAGGAACACGATAGCCGGTCGAAAATAAAATACATTAGTCGAATAAATTAAGAGACTCTTCGAGGCGTTTCTTTCGTCGCTTTCACCTCGACCCGTAGTAGAACCCGTCGAATCCCTGATAGCCGGGATGCGGATCGGAGGGAGTCCCGCCCTGCGGATACCGCGGGTACGGATGGACCCGCGGCTTCACGTACGAATACGGAGAGGCGTGCACGGGCCCGTAGCAACTCGAGTCCGACGGGTAGGGTGTGCCCAGGGCGTCCGGAGTCGACCACGGAGACGTCACCGTCGTCAGCGTCGTCCCCGTTCCGCGTGTGGAATGGGTGGAGGCACCCGGAGAGTCCGAGTTCGACGACGGGTATCCTGCCGACGACGACGATCCACCGGGCGAAGGCTTCTCCTCTGCCGGACGAAAAGAGAAAACCAGCGTATTTCGACCTTCTCGCACGATCGTTCGAACGAGTCGCGTACGGAGGGACGCGTTTCGCGTACGAAATGCATTCGAGTGCGGAATCGAAACGCGAAGGCGGGCGAGAATCGGCCGAAGACATCGACCGAAATTTCCACCGGCCGAAGTCTCTCGTGCGCTCTCTCGCTCGACGCACATTTTTTCCTCGCGAAGAAAAGCATCGGACGTGGCGTTTCGCGAAACTCGAGGTGGAAGTCGCTCGCTCGAACGGTCGCGTTTCCGTCGCGGCAGAACCGATCGATTCGGGTCGGCGTTCGTTTCGTCGATCGAACGAAAACCCGAAATCGACGGGAGACGCTCCGCGATCGCGGAACACGGAAGAGAAAGCGAGGCCGTCTCGCGACCGTCTCGGATGCGTCGGACGCGACGCGTTTCGAAAAGTATCATCTGCTCGTATCCGTCGATGTTCTTTTCGAAATGCGAACGATCGAGGCGTTCGCTTCGCACCCGAGACGAATCGAAAGGACTCGAGCACCGGAGAGGGTGCATCCCAGAGTAGAGGGTGCACCCCATGCTGCATCCGTTTCGGTCGCCCGATTCCGTCCCGACCGATTTCCATTTCCATCGCATTCACGAACGTCACGAGAGCGGCACGAACGACGAACGATAAAGATGACGGATTCTCGCGATCTTAAAGATGACGTTCTCGTTCGTTCGTGCCTTCGGGAAACGAGACGAGCCGTCGTCGAGGCGGCTCGAAACGGTCGCAGCGGCTGTGCTCTCGGGCTGGGAATCGCGAATTTTTGCGAGGGACGGTCGCGACTCGCTCTTTTCGCGGCCGAAAGCGTCCGCAAACGATCCCGCGGTCGCACCGTCGGTGGTTTGCCTCGGCAGCGTTTTCCGAGCGTCCCTCGTGCACGGAAGACCGCCGGACGAACGTGCCACTCGATGCGAGCACCAGTCGGTGTCCGGGGGCACTAAAAGGCGCAGTCGTCGAGCGACGAGTCGAACGTTCCATGGATTTCGTGCGTCCTTCGACGGCTCGTTCGCGTCCACGGACCCTTTCGGGCGATACGGCGAGACCGTGCACGTTCTTCCTCCGACCGAGCGGTTCGGACGAAGACCGTGCACGTTCTTCCTCCGACCGAGCGGTTCGGACGAAGACCGTGCACGTTCTTCCTCTTTCGGCACCGACCTCCTCGCATCCTGCGACGGACGAACGTCGCGATTCGAGGCGTCGTCGCTCCGCTCCGTCGGATCTCGGCACTCCGTACCTCGGACGAAGTAGGACCGGTATGGGCTTTAAAGAGCCCTTCCCGTTGCCAGGAACGACGTCTTGGCAGGTCCCCGGGTCAACAATTAGTCGTAACGACGTCTAATCGGAGTCGACATCGATCACGGCTAATTGATAGGCTCGCTCGCACGGACGAAAAGGGAAGAGGAACGAGGAAGGCAAGGTCTTTTGCCAAATTTCCCTGTCATATTCGGCATTCGAGACGAGCGACACGAGAAACACATGTCGCATTTCGCGGCGGGTGACACTCCGTCGGGGGTGAGAGAGGAAAAAAAAAAGACAGCGCTCGGAGTGTAGGTGTAGGGTCTACATATAGGCGAGGAGTCGAGGGTCGGAGCTCGTAAATTTTTTCGCCTCTTCCCTCGCACATGTGCAACGTGCACGGCTCATGGCAGTAGGAAGGGAGGATAATTATTTAGTGCCGGCCAATTTCCGCCCTCGACACGCCCGCCTGGATGCCTCGAAGACGAAACCCGGCCAGGGTGGGCCGGCCGAACGCTAAACGACCCTTTTCTCACGGAATCCGAGTCGTTCTCCGCGCGACGTCACCCGCGTCGTCCCTTTTCTCCTTCGCGTTCCGTTCTCTTCCTCTTTCCGCGACGGACTCGCGCCTCTCGCTCGTCGGCACGCGCACTCCTCGTCCCCGCTCTTCGATGCGGGGATTCCGTCGGACGGACCTTCGGCATCGACGGGTGGACTGCGATGCACCGACCTTTGGTATCGATGGGTGGACTGTGATGTACGAGATGCAACCCCCGGCTCCCGTTGGTTCCCGGTCGAGAAGTCCTGCTCGCGTCTCCTCCCAGGTGATTCAGCACGTCCACCACGCTGTTCCGAAGGGAACGAGATCCACACGACGCGATGACCGTCTCCGTCGTCTCTCGGAACGAACGAGGCGGAAGAGAGCGAACTCTCGGAACGTCGGACTCACCAGTCGTCGGGGTCGCAGTCCCGAAATCCCTTGGCGAAAGGGTTACTCGCGATCTTCAGCTGGGTGATCTGCGGGAGGAAACGAGACGTCGCAGAGGACCGGAGTGCGAAGACGACGACGAGGACGAAGACGAAAACGATCGACAGAGAAGCCGGGATCGTCTCGAACGCGGGATTCGAGCGGCCGCACTCGACGTCGCTTTCGCGCCGGCATTTCGTGCTTCGTCCACGCCGGAAGGTTTTCTCCCGTCGACGACGAACGAACGTCGCGAGAGAAAAGAAATTTTCGAAAGAAAAATTTCCAATCGATCGACCGTAGCGTCGAAAATCTCGCACGTGAAACTTTGAAAGACGTCCTCGTCGCGAAAGTTTTCGTCGGAATCTGCGAGTCGACAGGCGGATAAAAATGGGATCTCGACTCATCGGTTCGGACTCGGCCTCGCTCTCGACTCGTGACTCCTTCTCGTCCTCTTCTGAGGCTGCTGCGAGGCCGAAAAATCTTTCACTCGGCATATTGCAAAGTTTATTTTCTGCACGTCATTTCACGCCTTCCGCACGCGAACTCACGAAACTCCTCAAAATCCAGGACGACACGAAGATCATCGTCTCGTCACGGATACGGCCACTCGCACTTTTCGAGATGCGATTCGCGAAAAGCGATTTGCGAAAAACGAACCGGGACTGCCACGGAGCGAATTCGCCGTTCGATCCGAAGTGCGAATTTTTAGAACGCGAGGAACGCTCTGCACGCGCCCGTCGTCGAGTGAAATTCTCGACGTCTTCGTTCGCTCGGTCGTCTCGTCTCACCCGATGGTTCTGATAGGCGGTGACGGCGGTGAATTTCGTCTCGGAGAAGGCGAAAGTCTTGAAGTTCTCCGTCCTCGTCGGGTCTTCGGTCCGGGGATTCACGTACACCACGTGGAAACGGGGTTGATACCGGTGCATCGAGTTCAGGATGATCTACACGATGCAGAGACGAGCGGTGTGAAAAAATGGAACACTTTCCGAGCACGCTACGAGTGCGTCGTCGCGTCGCCGCGTCGTCGCTCCGAGTCGGAGCGTGTACCGAAATCGAAACCATCCACGTCGATACTCGAGGTGAGGAAGTTCTTGCAAGGAGTGCCTCGGTGAAAACTTAAAGGGGATGGACTCGAGAGTCGCGAAAGAGAAAAAAATCCTAACCGGCGAAAGATCCCCAAGGGCGAGAGAAAGTGAGGAAACGGAAGACCCCGCTTCGTTCGACTCGAAGTCGCCGAGAGCCCCGAGAAACGACGGAACGCTTCTCGGTGGGATTCCGAGACCCACGAGGTAGGAAACAGACGACGTCCCCGGGATCCCCCGGGACCCCGGGAGAGTCTGCGTTCGCGGACGCGGTCTTCCGAAGACGTTTCGGATCGCGACGTGCCATCGATCGACACGGTGCACCGTCCGCGTCACCGTCACCTTCCTTCCGGCGGTCTCGACGTCCGCGAACGCGAACGTCGTCTCCTCGCAGTCCTTCGGTTCTCGGCGTCGACGTCGCGCGAGACGGGGTCGAAGCTCCGACCGATCGGACGTACTCCTCTCGCGAGGCCTCCGTGCATCGTTTCCGTGCATCGTTTCCGTGCATCGTTCCGAGCATTCCTTCCCCAGAACGAGCGCGTTAAAGGTGAATGCATCTCTCCGCATTCACGAGAGGCTCACGATGACGTGGAGGATTCCGAACATTCCGAACGAAACGTCTCGAGTGCGGGCTCGAGTTCAAGCTCACTGTTTTCACCGATCACGACGGAAAATCCGTCTTTCTCTTCCTCTCCTCTCTCTTTCTCTGGGACCGCCCAAGTCAGTCGAACGGTGGAACCGATGGCACTCGACGCTCGTGCGTTGCCTTAACCCTTTCGGTTCCGAATCGTGTTCTCGACACGGAAAAAATGTCATTTACTTTTTGGGCTCCGACAATTCTCGTGTGATATAAACGTGAAATAAATGGTTTCCTCGAGTGAAATTAAATATTTATTTCAACGATTTAACGAAATAAAATAAATGAATAAAATCATGCTATTTAATCGGTTCAGCCAGTACTCTCATCCTTATTTTCCGCCGTTTTCCGGTATTTCTGTATTACTTTCCATCATCTGGCTCGCAAAAGCAGAAAAAATCGACCGGGAAAGAAACGTCTTGGCCGAAACGAAGGTAAACGATGATACCATTTTTGAAGTGCAGGAGGAAATACGGGAGCTCGATGTTACCGTGGACTGCTGTCATCTCGACGACGTGCGGCGAACGACTACGAACGGGGACTCGGATTCCCGCCGTGGCCTCGACGTCGTGCATTCCCACGTGGCCCCACGACGCACGCGAACGAAATCTGGGACTCTCGAGTCCCGACGGGACCGAAAGGCTTAAACGCATCGACGCGAAGCCGTCGGTGCACGACCTCTTCCCCACGAAGGGCCGGATCGAGATTTCCGAGCCGAAACGGACCGCATAGAAATATGGACTTTTAGAGACCGGAGGCATCCGAGGGGCCGCAAAAAAAGTGTCGGCCTGCCGCGGGTCGTCCATCACTGCACCGAACCGTTTCGATGCTCCCCGTTCTCGATGGGTTACCGTTTCTCGAGGTCCAAAAGGACTTCAAACGTATGGCTCCCTCCATTCGACCCAAAATTTCGCGTTCGGATCAGAGCTCACGGCTAGCATATCACGACGAGTGAAGCACTTCGTTTCCGTAAATTCACCGATGCGTCGAATATCATTACGAGCGACATCGAATCGAGGAGGACTCTCAGAATACGAAATTTTCTCCAAGATTCGACTCGGAAGAAAGATCCCTCGCGTCTTCGACGTTTAACCGAGTCGAAGATCGGTGAGGGTTGGATTCCGAGGCTTTCGGAGAGATGATATTTTTGTCGTCGCTCGAGCTCGGTCGGCCGGCCCCGTGGAGTACCGCCCGGAACGAACGCGGCGGCGACACCCGTTAGCGCGTCTCGACGGTTCTATCAATATTTCGGCACGGTTCGTTCGGATCGTTCCGCGAGGGTCCGTCGAGTGCCGTTTTCGGTTTCCTCTCGCGGACGACGGAAAGAGCCACGGGTGGAAGAGTCTCTCTGCTCGGTGCACCGAATGCCGAGAGATGCCATGCCGTTCGAACGAACGTCGGGACGGTGGGAGCGGGCAACGCAACGGAAACGGAGGGGAGAAAATGCGCGTCCGAACGGACTGCAGAGGATTCTCGATTCGCCGTGGGTCGTGCGTGTCTTGCACGAGAGAGTCGAAGAGAAAGGCGATGCGTTTTCCCGTGCCATCCTCGAGAGGTTTACCGTCGAAAAGAAAGGGGAAGAGAAAGATTGGGTTTTTGTTTACACGGCACGCCCGGAGAGTCGTTAAGCGCCGTTCTTAATGACTCCTTTTATCTTGATTAGGCAGCTGCAGGAGGACCTCGAGATTGAGAAAGAACAAGAAGGGGGCACGAGAAGGGCCGACGTACATCGACAGCTTCTCGGTCAGGGGCAAGGACCGTGTATATAAACACTCTCCCGTCCTCTCGTTTTCTTTCGTGCATCGAGCGATGACGGGATCGCGGTCCGAAGCGAACGCGAGGAACATAAAAAAATATCGGCGAAAGAGGGGACGGTTCGCGGCGGCTTCTCTCTGCCGGTAGATTCGCTCGACGATCCCGAACCGATGGAGTTCGGGAACGACGAGACGTTGCGTTCGTCGAGTTACCCCTTGCCGCTCTTCCACTTTTCTCACAGCTCTTCGGTCCGATCGGCCGGTCTCGTTTCTCGTCGGTTCGACCTTCAACCGGTAATCTTGCTTTTCCTCGGTACGTGACTAGTATCGCGTGCGGTCATATCGACCCCAGCAATAAAAATCTCAATAAAATGAAGTTTTTTGGAATTTAAAGTCAGTCATCGTGGCAGTTTCGTTGCCTACACGGTCGGCAACGAAGCTGTCACGATCGAGGTCCTAATGCCACACGAAGGTATCGGGTCGGACGCCTCGATCGCAGGCGCCACCTTTCGGTCATCGACTCGGTGGGGTCTCTCGTGACACCACGATGCCGGTCGAAGGTCGATCCAACCGGCACGGAGCCGAATCGCCGACTCGATGCGAATCCGTCTCGGTCGTTCACCGATGCAACGTCTGCTCCGTTTTCCTGCTTCCTCGTTCGTACGGCACCCCCCTCGTATGCCCTTCACTCGCACCTGCTTCTGCCGTGCTTCTCGCTCGGGACGAACTCGGTCGATTTCGGAGGTACGGGACGGTTCCGGCTCCCACGTCGGTACGGCGGTCCGAAGGGGAGAGAATCGAACGAAGGGAGGAGGCGGTCGTTCGGGTTCCGTTCGGTCGCTGCAGTCGGGTACATCACGTCCGAGATGCGTCGATCGTCGATGGGTGCAGTCGAGTATACACAGTCGGATGGCAAAGGTCGGGCTGCTGGGCCTGGGCCTGGCTTCCCTGGCCCGTCTTAATATAAATGTGCTCTGTTATGTGTCCGTTGGTTTGTTTTCACTGCATACACGGGCATGGCACGAGACCCCCAAGTCTCTCTTTTCCTTCCCTAGTTCCTCTTCGGTTCCCCCCGACTCGACTCTTTTTGGTCGACAGCATCGCACCGGGGTGCACTCTTCCTTCCCAAATAAACCTCATTCTCCAAGCAGGCCCGAATCGTACGTCGAGGATGACTTAACCGAGGATGTTGAATAAAAAATCAAATAAAGACCGGATGGTTCGTTCGATCGGATCTCGAAATATCATCTACTCGAGAAAAATGAAGCGATCGAGTGAAAAAATTCCATCGAAAAGATTCATCGAGTCACGATCGATTGCAAGACTTCCACCTTCTTGTATCGTTTCAACTACATCGCATCGAAGAGTGGAAGGAAAAAGGCTGCGTGCAGTAATTTTTAAATTAAAATATTGCTATAAAAATAAGATCAACGGCTCCAGTTCAGAAGAGAGAGCGAAGTAGCCAGCACATTCCCGAGCCTTTGCGAATGGCAAGGATTCTGAAGACGTCCAGACTCACGTGTCCGTTGTCGTCGAGTTGGTTGTTGGTGAGTTTGAGTTTGTCGAAGGCGACGGGCTGCTTCATCCATTGACCTCCCCGGGCCGGAGACTCGGGATGAACGTGGATCCTCGGCGGGGAGATCGGATCCGCCTTTCCAGCCACCACCCAACTCGAACTGGATCGTATTCGCATTCGCACTTTCACGGCAAGAACGATGCGATCGGACGGAACGGGAGCTCGAGGATGGGAACCCACCTGTGAAAGGCGTATCTGTAGCGCTTGTCGTCGACGGGTACGAAGTCCATCATGAGGATGTATTCGGCCAGGGGGTCCATGCCGAACAACCGGACCTGGAACGTTGGGAACATCCTCCTGCAATGCATTCCACAACGTCACGTTCGAGCTTCCCGCGTTCTCCTTTCCGATACATCGAGTACAAAGTTATTCTGGAATCGTTAGTCGACTGGAGGATATTCATCAGCCATCGACTCGACTAGAAGTGAACCTGTCGAATCTCAACGGTGAGTCTCTCCAGATATTGTTTAAAATCCCTCGCCTGTGCAAATACCGATCGATCGCTGTGGGTGATGGCCCATTTTTTAAACCTAAGGTCGTCGCAACACGGATATTTCCGATATACCATATATCTTAAACGTTTACAAGGCTGACCGCAATTTTATCTTTGATGTAGCATAACGAATCGTTTTTTCTTCACTTTGAATATTTTCTGAAGTTTCATCTCTTCGCTCCTCGGCTGGCAAGAGCAAGGTATCAATAGCAGGATGAACGGGGGTACGGGACAGTGATGGACTCCATTCCAGTTACCCCGTCGATCGAGTTCTGCTCCATGTAGAAAAATGCTAAATTTCTTTCTTTGCTAAATTGCTTTCTTCAACCCCTTCCGGCGACAAAACTCAACCGTCTCGTATTCCTCTCAGAGAGAATCAACAGGAACGAAATTTGGCATACTTTTCACTCTCTCAACACAGAATCACTCCAGCAAATTTGAAGCTCCATCTCCCCGGGGGTGGGGAGATTACTGAATCTCGCTTTTCGGAGATGCCGATTTCATTCCGGAATATTTATTATTTATTTATTTTTTCTCCACCTCTGGGTAGCCACTTATAGGAAGTATTCGGAGAAAGTGAACTTCCAAAGAAAGATATTGACCTGGAGGTGAAAAAAGTGTCAGTTTTGCTGCTTCCAGTGCCCCATTTCGCCATGAAAAATGAAATTAGATGCCGTTAATTTAGGCTTACCACGAAGGCTCTGGCCCCGGCCTCCAGTATTGCCAGATATCGTGCCTTAGTTATGCCAGATTCATGACTTCTTCGGCTTTAACATAGGTGTCTGAATTTTCGGTTATTTTTTCATGTATGAGGTAATTATGTGTCCAGTTTATTTGATGAGCTGAGATTGAAATGAAGGCCAGCAGTGGCCGATCGATTTGGGGGGATGTGGAGATATCTCATCGGATATCCCTAAATTAAGATGATGGCGGGCAGCTGCGTGTCATGCTTTCTAAAGGCACTTTCTTCTCGCAACGCTTTGAGAAGGTTCGAGGAACTCTGGATAGGCCTAACGTTCCTTGTCCGTACTGAAATGGTTAATGAAACTCGAAAAAGTCCTACATTCAGTCTAACAATAGGCGTTCTTTTTTCGATTGGCCATGAGAGGCTGAATCGCCATGGGATTGGCTTAACGTTACACGTCCTCGACGAGAGGTATTCTTTTCTTGTTGAATCATCTTACTACGGGATGTACGTGGCACTCGATCCCGTTGAGGCCCGCAACCGAAGCCACACTTCAACTTTTCAAATCCAACCTTTAAAATCAATATTGAAGGAAAACCCCCTACAATATTGTTCCGGTTCCAAACCAGTTCAAAACACTCTTTCGAGTGACCGGGATCCACATGGATATGGTGAATGATTGTATGTAAAACGGCAACAAAGAAACAATCATAACCAGTCAATTTATTAAAAAGGGGGGAGTAAATCCGATGTTTTGGAGGCGCAAAGTCTCCTTCCTCAAGGAGTGAAAATTCTATTTAATAAGAAATATGTCAAGAATATAGGAGGAGAAAAAGGCGTTAACAAATAGGAAATGGGGGGAGGGGCGGAAGAAATATCAACTAAAAGCGAAGATATGAGAGGTAAAAATTGTAAGATTAGTTAAAAATTAGAATAAATATAGAATGAACAAATAAATAAATAAATAAGGGGGATAAAAGGGTAAAACAGAAACTGGCGTCGTTCCACGACAGAAGCAAATGAAAGAATTAGTCATAAAAAGAAAATGGGGGTGGGGAAATTGGAGTGGCGGGAGGGGTCAAAGGGAATTCATGACCGGTTTCAACATTCCCACCAGACTGTTTCGCGTTTCCTTCGATAGGACGGTTCGGCTAGCCTCACTTTTTCAACAGGGAGGATGGATAAATCTGTATCTCTGTGTGAAACTAGAAATTAATATTCTTGGCTGTATAGTAAATATGTTCGCGTTCCCGCCAGCACGATGCTAGCAATCTGGACTCCGGAGGTAAGTAGAAAGATTTTCAATAAGCGAGGCTACAAAACTCCCTTGCATTTCTTCTTGACAAATGATAAAATGAAAATGTCATTTGGTGGTAAATGTGGTAAACCGTTTCTTCCACCGAACAGCGAGTTTCCATTGTTGAAAAATGTTGGCATCATCATAAATCGTCCACTTCGGTCAGAACCCAATGCGAAGATGCTCTCGATTTGTATATGTCAAAGCCCAAGAGAAGAATGCAATCGACGAAGTTAGGTTCATAAAAGTTGGTGCAACCCCACATCAAACAGACCCGGTCTTCGAACTGCTCAATCGGGCTATCAAGACGTGAGTTATTGACTTCGGGTATCAGCGTCGCTATGTTGGAGGATTTCCTCTTCCAGCCTACTCACCAAATTTGAATCGCTGTGATTGTGTGGGGACATCTTAAAGACAGAAAACCTGCAAAACATCCTGGAACTAGAAGCTGCGAATGAAAAAAGGATCAATTCCATCAGCTGATTCGCTGATATGGGTCATTTTCAACATTTACAAAGACTTACATTTTTCGTCGAGATGGAAGGCACGCACATAGAAGGCTGTCATATAAGCCCACATAGAGAGTGCTTGCATAAATTATGAGAGTTTCCGAACTCTGTCTATTCATTAAAGTTGTATAGCAAGTAATCCAAGAAGTCCATTTACGGACAGAAGCAGTAGCAATCTCATCTTGTAACGTGACCTTTGTCTAGAGGAGAAAATTCCTAATCCAGATCGACTCAGGCACCTACTGCTTCCTTGCGGAGTCCTGTCTATGGGACTTCATGGAAAAACCTCCCTATTTAAACCTTTCGTGGGCACGCACTGAAATACAGTTTGAAGACTGAGTTCGTCAGTACCCTCAAACTTTTCAGAACTGCTTCAGTGTGATTGAATGCTTAAACGATCTGTTATTCTTATCTGGATCTCATTCAAACCATTGCAGAATAAATACGATTTCTTCTTCAACTGGATGTGCTTTGCAAATAAATTTGCCCAGGGAGTGCACACTATCCAGAGATAACTTACCCTTGATGGTGTTAAAATCGTGCTCTTAGTCGTATAAGTAACCATAAATGGGATTGGTCACTTGGAAATGTGGGATGGAATAGACACCGCTGAACAGTAAATTATCTTCAACGTCACACAAATACCCCCGCGCCATACCCAGGGATATGGTTTGATCGGAATGCAGAGCTCCTGTGGGATGAAGTCTCTGTATAACCCATCCCATACTTGTCTCGCATTGCACAATGCATTTCTGCAAATTGGAACGTGTCAATCGACACATCTGAAATGAATTTGATTACAGAACATTATT